CGTCGTTAGCAAGCTGAAACCGGTACCGCTTGAGGTAATATCCGAGGAGGAGTGGGCAGCCAGTGCCTTTCCTCCAGTGGTTATGCTCCGCTGTTTGCTCCGGGTTCTCCGAGAATGCGCCAAAGAGCGGGGGTGCATGTCAGCGACGAGGGCAGCATCTAGAGTATGTACCACTGTTCCCCTTCCTGTGCCGCCCGCTTCACCGCCGACAACGAAGGGCCGAGTACGGTGTGAAGTACCGGTAATCTAACGGTTCCGAAGATGTGGGGGAAGGGGGGGAGAGGGGGGGAAGAGGGGGAGAGGGGGAAAGGGGGAAAGACGAACCACGAGCGAGTGAAGCTGCTGCAGAATGAAAATGGGGGGGCCCTACCCTATAAGGATATAAAATAAACTAAAGCAAGCAAGCTAGCAAGCGGGGGCCGAGCCCACCCAGCCCGAAGGCCTACTCATAGCCCGAGCCTCAGCGACCAGACTAGCAGCCACTCCATCATCACCTCATTCCCACAATCCCCCAGCCCACCTACACCAGCACCGCCACCACACTCGACTCACACGCAGCTTTCTGTTCGCCCTTGTGAACCAGCGCCCCCACCCGCCGGGCGCCAGGCTTCAGAGGCAGGTCCCACACCAGCTCGCTTGCCGTGACACTGATGGGCATTGACGGGGGAGAGCGGCGGCGGTGGCGGCCGGGGGGATATTACACGGGGCAAAAGTCAAACTAACAACTGGCGACGAGTTGTGTGTGTACGTGTGAGGGGGCGGGAAGGGGAATAACAGCCGCTAACGTCCGGTAAATTGAAGGGGAGGGAGAAACACACACGCACACAGACACAGGCACACAACAGAGCTACTGCGTGCTATTGTTCGGGGGGTGTTATGTCTGTATATGCCGTAACTGAGGGGAGGTGGGATGAAATCATGTCGTACAAGGGGCCCGGCGGGACGGCGGGGGAATTTTGCGGGATGGAAACACCATCAAGACACACCATCAAGACGCAGCAGAAGGGGCCAAGCAGCGGTGGCCCACACGCCCATCATACCAACAACGGCAGGAGGAGTCCAAAGCCATTACATTATTATTATTGTTATCATTATTTTTAATGTCATAAATCCACCGTAGCCGTACGGAGAGTCCCCTCCCTGGACTGACCTGGCGGGCGGCAGGGGCTGTTGCCACTGGGTGCAACTCGCCGTGTCGCCCCATACGTGCAAACCCCAGCCCTGCGGCCAGGAGAGGGAGCGACCGTGTGCTCTGGGCGTGCGTACATGCACGACGGTGTGTTTTGTTATGTATATACATATATACATATATACATATATACATATATACATGTATGTATGTATGTATGTATACGTACATACGTATGTATATGTATGTATGTATACGTACATACGTATGTATACGTATGTATGTATGTGTATATGCGTATATACATGTATGTATGATGTGTGAAACAGGGGGGTGTATCTTCGCCCGTGGCAGCTACCCTGGTATTTCGGGGCACCCTCATCCAGTCACCCTAGTCAACTTCTCAGTGGATCGCTCAGGTTCCGCACCCACCACCAGCATCCAACGGAATCTGCCGGGTCGACAGCGGCCCAACTCCATTCCTGGTCGGCTCGCAGGTTAACTTTATCCCAGGTCACCACCGTCCATCGACTAGGGGCGCAATACCTTCCACCATCGGAAGGACTTTTGACCCTAACGGGTATCGTTCCCGGGATCTCCCGGGGGCAATGGTCGCGCCTTACCAGTAGTGCCAAACCCTATATAAACTTGGAATTCGGCCCAAGTAGCAGCTGCTTTTGCTGAAGCACAAGCAGTAACAACGTGATCACTCCAGCTCGCATTCCTAGAAATGCGAGTATGTATGTATGTATGTATGTATGGGTGTGAGTGGGTGAGTGGGTGGATGGCGGCATTGGTGCATAAGAGAGCTAGTATCCAGGTCACCGGCAACCAAGCCCGCCAAAAATACAGTTTTTGCATGAGCGCCTGGGACCGCGCAGCGTCAACCGCTGCAACCCTTTGTTATTCTTCCCCTAAAGGGGAACTTGCAACATTGCAATCCGTCTGGGTCCCCGCCATTGCTCTCCCTGTTCCGCATCCCCATTGCCTAGAGCGCGACAGAGGCAGTTCGTGGCGCCGTGTGCCAAGACAGAATGTTAGAATTTGAGGTGTCCGAGGAGCACTCATTAAATTTCCCCAATACTCAAATTACCTTATAGTTGTGGTCCTTACGGATGTATCGCACGCGCAGCACTCTTGTCACTGTTGGGGCGTCCGATGGCCGCAGCGATGCCCTAGCCGGCAGGCCGTCAGTCTGGGCCGCCAGGCCATTGGATTGCTGTGGAATTATCCATTGAAGCAATCCAGAAGTTTGCAAGCCCAATTGGTCCAGTCCTGAGCGTTGCGGCCTGCGGAATACAAACGAACTGCACCGAAACCCTCCGAAAAGAGTAGGACTGTGACGCTGGATCTGAAGGTTTCGGACTTTTGGCAGCATCACGTCTGCTCAACGCAGACAGAGTGCAATCGTGGAGGCCTGTTTCAAACGGTATCTAACTCTAACGCGGGAATAGAAGCGATAATGAGCTATCAGATGTCGGGCTACAAGGAGATATCGATCCAAACGTTAATGAATTTAAGGATTTTAAAAATGGACACGAATTGGCAAATGCCAATATACACCGGGTGCCCATGGGTCGTCAACGCGGAGCGTCTGCCATGGGACTTGATGAAAACTTTGTACCGCTTACCCTCGCGACTATTCCAATCTGTTGCAACGCATTTATCCCTGCACGATGCAAGCGCTCTTCCTAGGAAGCGTGAAACTTAAAAAGGCGTTTGTTGCATTCCGTTGCTTACTCGGGACAAAAGCTGGGGGGACAGGACTCTACGTAAAGAAACTGAAGGCGCGAGACAGGCAAACGGAAGTAATCTTCGGCAGATATTTACAGATTCATGCGTATGAACCAACACATCATGCCCACTAATCACTTCATCCGCTTGGGAGCGGAGAGGGGAAAGCTGCGCAGTCGCCATTCCTTCCATTACAAACTATAGCACAAGTTTGGTGGTCAGTTATGGGCCATCTGCAAGCCTGCTCCGGCGGCTCAACATCTACAACGTCCCCTTCCGCCCCACTCGCACGTTCTCACTCTCGCTCAATCCGCTCTACTCACGCAGGTCGGCGCGGGGTGTATAATCAAGTACAGACACACACACCAGATGACCACCGCATTGGGAAAACAAGTAAATGGCGAAAGTGCGCTCAACAACCAAAATTGAGCAATCAACTCCCCGCACAGCCGTCCATGGCGGCAGGGGCAGCCAACGCTTCGGGTACGAGCCCGGTCCGGTCCTACTAGCGTACATGGAATCCACCCATCACGGCTCCACTTGCAGCAAGTTAGGCGCATGTAGCAAACCAGCTGAAAGTCGCCACCCTCGTCGTCCGGTCCGAACGACACACGCGGAAAGCTGCAAGATGGCGCAAGAGCCAGACGAGCCCCAGATCCACATCACAGCACCCATTGCAGCCCCGAGGAGGAAGCCGCTTAGTAGACCTCGACGTGCCACTGGTTGCGGTGCTTGAGGCCCTCAACCCACTCCTCGTAGTTCAGGCCCTTGGACTTGGCCACGCGCTCAAGCATCTCCTGTAGGGCCAAAGGGAACCCGACAAGCATATGAAGAGCACGGTTTGAGAACAGGTTTGGCAGGATAGAGCTCAATACAAAATGACCGCACCAAACATAACCTACATTCCGCGCGCCAAAATAGGGACATCTTCCCCTGTTAAATTTTTCCTGATGCATAGCCTGATGCAAGCCCGCACTCTGAACTCATCATGCCCAGACCCGGTATCCGCCCATCCCAGTCCCACCTGAATGCCAGGCATCATGCCCTTCAGGCCGCAGAAGTACATGTGAGCGCCGTTGTCCAGCAGGTCGAAGATCTCGTCAGAGTACTCCTCCACCTTGTCCTGTGAATTCGAAGGACATAAACAAAATCAAAACATCGCTCAGTTGCATCCACGCGATTTTGGGGACCACAAACACCCAATATAATATTTACTTAAGAGTTTTGCTAGTAAGGAACAGCCCACTCTACACACTTGACTGAATCATGCATCCGTGATTGGCACAGCCAATTAAGCACGATGTGGGTTTTAACAAAGGACACCTGAAGATGGAATCCCCCCACGCAATCACACTTCGCCGACCTGAATGTACATCTTGCCGCCCTTGCGGTTCTTCTGCTCACGCGACAGAGCATAGTCCAGGCGGAACTGGCTGGGGTAGGCCTTGGCCAGAGCCTGCAGCTCCTCGTCGTAGAGCTTGGCGTCCGAGTTGGCCACACCCATGAACAGCCAGAACAGGCCGGTGAACTTGTAGCTCGGCACGTTCTCCATGAAGCAACGGCGCCAGAAGGAGCGGAAGGGAGCAATGCCAGTGCCAGTGGCCACGCAGATGAGCGGGGCGTTGGCGTCAGCCGGCAGAAGCAGCACCTTGCCGGTCGGGCCTGCGAAAAGGAAAGCGTTGAGAGCACGAACAGCAAGACGCAGCAAGCGGCTTCAGGACGTGCGATTTTGGGTTGATGGTTGAAGCCAGTGTAAAAACATTCCTGGAGCGTTGTTTGCTTTAATAAGAGTCTCCAGGTGTGAACCTGTGCTGGCAAACCCAAAACGGTCAGGTTCACACGTTTGCTTGCAGAACTGATGCTAAGGTGTGAACCACACCGTATTGTGTTCCACCTTTCACAAGTAGTACCCGGAACATCTGAAAAGTGAAGCAGCTCACCGGTCATGACGATCTCAGTGCCGGGGGTAGCATCGCACAGGTAGTTGGAGCAGATACCCTTCTTGGCAGGGTCCTCCTTGCCGGTCTCCGGGTCCACGTACACGGCACGGCGGACGCACAGCGAGGCAGTCTTGCCGTCGAAGTCGTCACCGTAGCGGGACGAGGCAATGGAGTACAGACGGGTGCCGTGCGGCACCTCCTTACCCTTGCTGTTAATCTTGGTGCCCTGTGCGCCATCAGATGATGATACACAGTACACAGGAGGATAGTTTAATTAGAAATCATGCACACGCCTTAGCAGCCATCCGCAGCTGTACGCAGGTTCCCAACACATAAGCACTTCCAAACCTGTCATATTATCTTACCGGCGGGATCACACCGTAGGACTGACCCTCCCAGAACGGGATCTTGCCCTCGGTCTCGATGATGATGTGGCAGGTCTCACCAGTGGCCTTAGGACCGGTGATGGTCTCAACAGAGCGAATCTTGGCCTTGAAGGGAGCCTTGTTCGAGTAAGTGTTCAGTGGCATCTGGAAAACAAGAATAGATATTTAATCACAACGGTGTCCTACTCAGAACGACCCAAAACGATAGGGTGGTCGCCGATCAGCCGCCCCGATTGCATGAAACATTGCAGCTCACCTCGCCCTCCTCCAGAGCGGTGGGCACAGTCCTACAAGACGAGGGTATAATGCATGTTATGTAGGCGTTACGACGCCAGAGCGAGGGCAACTAAGGCGAGCCTAGACCCACCGCTTGGACACATCGGTGGTCACGGCCGTCGAGACCTTGGTGGACGCCACCGGGCGGAACACGCGGCGGCTGGCCACGCGGGTGGCCTGCAAGAACGCAGAGAGAGAGCCACAATAAGACAATGGCCCTTTCTACGCATCGAAGTGGCCCGCATGATGGGGGGCCCTAGCGGGAAGAGATCTTGCTATGAGATAACTTACAGCGCCCTGGGCAGCGGGAGCACGCATGGTCTGCGAAAGGAAAAAGAACTAATGTCAGTCTAGGAAATCGTTATCATAGCTTTCTGCTAGAGGCTTGTTGTAAACCTGCCTGCATGTTTCTCGATTAGGCTGTGCGATGTGCCGCAAGGGAAGAGCGAAGTTACTAGCCTGCTGTGCGCACAATAACCAGGCCGCTCGGGCGGTTCTGGAGCGGATAAGATCAGGCCCAGGACGGCACCACAAATTGTGCAGAGCGATGCATTAAGCTGTGTATTTATTTGGCATAGAACTTCCCTCTTGTAAATACATGGGAGCCATTCGATTAGGTCATGAGCGCCCCTTTACCTCCTAAGGTCGCTATCTGGTTGCTGTCGTTTCGACTGTCCTTTTCGTGGGCTTTGGGCTACTAGCTACAATGCCGGGACTAAACGCGCAAGTTTCGAGTAAACTGTTGTGCCTTGTTGTTTTTGCTCGGCTCATATGATGTATGTTGACGCCTATAACGACAATCTACGCCAGGGTCATACAGATGCAGACTTTCCAACCCTTGCTGTAGGACTTTTAAGATGAGTATGATGCTTTCCGTGATGAACACTGGTGACGTCTTAAACTTGAAGCATCCCTGTTCGGATATGCAAGTGCTGGAGGGCTAATTTGTTCGGCCCCTGAAAACTGCACGGAAGCACAGATATAGAAGGCGAAGCTGTATTGATTTCATGCCAGTTTTATGCCAGCTCACGGGCCCGGGGGCCCATGTACCCATCTGCAACCTTAAAAGCCCTGATTTCGAGGTTGCATGGCCTCCGTGGTAATGGCTGCTCCTTCTTTGGCGTTCAACTTCATTTTGCATGCTCATGTCTTGTTTGTCGCACGTAGCAGCTATAATAGGCCTAGACAGTGGTGTGCTACAGTACCAATGAACCGGCTTCTTGCCCAATACGTACAACCATTGAGCCCCGCAAAGTTGGTCGCGCTACGAACTTCTCTGGAAGTCCTGCAGGTGTCGCTGTGCCTTAAGCTCTCTATGCTCTGCATGCGTGCGTGCGCGCGCGCACGTCACAAGCGTTACGAAGCCGCATTCGTTGGGGCCCCGATACCGGTAATGTGTTTTTCCTTACGCGGATACCTACTCCTGGCCGCTTGGAAGGGTACGCACGGTTATAGGCGGTACAGGTGAACGGGCCCGCCGTGTACAGAACCTTTCTTCCCGCCATCCAACCCGGGCCTTGCTTTATTTCTATACCATGCCGCCACGTGTGGCTGTCAGAAGCAGTAAAGAGGCCGAGGATCCTGCCGATCACGTCCAAAAGCCATGGAGCCCGTGCCTCCTCCACAGGTGCTCCAAATCTGGATCTCAATGCGTGGTCTGCGGTGCTTCTTAAAAACAGACCTCGCAGCCACTAGCACCGCTACTGATGGTAACCAGAGTCAGGCGGTTCATCTTAGAAACACCATAGCCCGACAGAAACTTTTTGTGACGGCTTACAAGGACCTGCGGCCCGCGGCCCTGCCTCACGCCTTAGCGGCGGTGGCAGCAGCAGGGGGACTCGCGGTAGTCGACATCGGCACCGGCGGCGTGGGCGCCAGTGCAAGCACGTTGTGCCGAACCGCCGGCGGGATCTGCCCAATGGCGTCAAATTTCTTGTCGTGCTTGGGATGCCAGCCAGCGGCGGGAAGCGGCAGCGGCAGGCGGCGGCTGGTATACGTCTCGGGCTACAGACGGAGCAAAAGAGACATGGAAGGGGGAAGGGGGGGAAAGACGAACCACGAGCGAGTGAAGTTGCTGCCAAGGAAAGAGTGCACAAGAAGCAGAGCTGAGAAGAAGCAGAACTGGGGAAGGGGGGATTGTGGAATTAGAAAACATCCAACATGGTAGATGTAACTATTAGGGATAAGAATAGGATAGCGCGCGAGCCCGCGGCATGATGTTGGGGTCAGGCTAGTCGCCTTGGCTGTATCTGCAACTGCCAAGGTGACTGCTTGGGGCCAGGTTCAATGGAGCTGCTGCCGCTACCATCAACGACAAGAACGCAACGGAGGCCAGAATCAGCTTTATTCCAGCGAGGACATGGCCACGAGAATGGCTTGGTGGGTTGCCCCACGCTTAGGCAGGCAGACAGACAGACAGATAAGCACGTGCAGGTCGGCAGAGGCCCTGTCATAGCATGGCGACCCTTATCGATTCCCACTTCATGGGTTCATGGGAATCGCAGGCTTTCTCATTCGCAGGCGGAATTCAGATACAGGGGCATGGCCTGGCATGGCCTGCTGGACCTCCAACTGTGGCGTTAGGGACGTGGGACTGCAGGCCACCGAAAGGAGGAGGGACCGTGGACAGGGACGGGGGGTGACGCACGTAAAGCCAGGCAGATTCGCACATGCAGCCAGGATCGGATCCCCCTAAAGCTTCCAAGCCCACACTAGACTCCGAATTCGCCGGACATATTCTCACATGCAGGATCGCCCCCAGGCCCTCCATCGTGTAATAAACCCTGGTGATGCGACCTCCCGCGGACTCCACACAGCCTCTCGTGTCCAGATTGCACGCGGTTACCTGCGGGGCCACAGGAACGCCCCGGCGGGGGAAAAGACGAATTACGAGCGAGTGAAGGTAATGCGTCCCCGGCGGGGGACGGGGGGAGGAGGGTGATGGGCAGTTGGGTGGGTTTTGTTGGGGGAAGGTTGTACGGGAAGGGGAATAAAACAAAGAAGGGGAATGCTGGGAACGGGCGCGATATTCGAAACAGCGAGCGGAAAACCCGTCAAGTCAACGTCAACTAAGGCAGCAATACACGAGTATACAGTTGGGACGACACACTCTCCCCCTCCCCGAGGATGATCTGAGCCGCGATGTGACCTGTGTGTGCGTGTGTGTGAGTATGGTGATGTGGTCTGTGCATCGCAAACGATACACACACACCCTCTGTGTCCTTTTAACGTATTGATGCATCGACGTGTTGATATGTTGTTGTGTTGCCATGTCCGCGATGCCTCGCATATCGTGTCATGCGTTCCTAGCCGACTGACAAAACCCAAACCCCACACCAGGGCCCCACGACCACACCAGCACCACACACACACACACACACACGTACACAGATCATATCCTTCTCCCGGCCCCCGGACCTGAATGTCCAGGGGAAATGTGAGCCGCGCCTTGCCGTACAGGAGGACGCCGTACTTGATCTTGCTGGTCACGCAGCCCGTGTCGTATAGATCCTGAGCGGCAAAAGGTCAACAGCGCCAAAGATGGCCAATCAATCCTCCATTGCATAGCTGCATAACAATAAATAGTAAGGGAGATCCTCCCCGGCAGGCCAGGATGTACATACCCTGTTGTCGGGAAGAAACCTCCAGTATCTATCTGCCCGCACTTCCCCCTCCTCCCCCCCCGTGTCCTCACCTTCATGGTGATTGTACGGCTGGAATCCAGCAACCCCAGCTGCACGTACTCCAACACCCGACTGAGGCCAAGCTGGTAGTACAAGACCTCGTAGCTGCAGGCAGGTGAGTGAAATTCATCGGAGGAAGATGGATTGGTATCTGGCATGCCAGGAAGTACCGTTCGTGACTGGAGGTAACACCCCCCCCAAAAAAAACAGGAGTGAAGGTAGACTAAAAATGAAAGGGTTTTGGGAAGAGGACAGAAGGGAGGAGCAGGAGGGGGCTGCAGAAGGGCGAGGAAGGCCATTTTTCGAGGGGATTCCAACAGAGAGGAACAGCCGCCGCCGACCGAAGGGCCGGCTGCCAGAGCTGGGAAGGGGGTTGGCGGGTGTGGATGTGACGGGAAAGAACGGCGAATAAGAATAAGGAAATTTGGGAACGCCAAGCCACCCACCAAGCCACCCAACCTCAACGAACGATCTCCCCGAGCCGTACCACAAAGGTCATCGTCAGGGGGTTTCTACGGGAGGTTCTGTTGCGGTTGGGTCACACCGCAGGAGTACCAGCAGCTGAGAATAGCCTATTTAGGCTCTGGCTCCGGTTGCGTGCGGTTCCCAAGTATGACAGAAGAAGAAGAAGAAGAAGTGTCCAAAAACTGTCTTTCCCGGTAGGCGCCCAAAATGTTTTGAAATTACACAAAAGTAAGTAACGCTGAGCCGCAGCCGAAAACATTGAATCGCCGGCTGGCCTCTGGTCCGTACCGACGCACCTGTGTACCGATCCACCGGTTCAACCGCCCAACAGCTAACGACCAACCGACCACAACCACCGTAGGGAACTCACTTGGGTCGCTGCCGCGTCACAGGGAACTTGAGCAGACCCAGCTGGCCACCGTCGAACAGCATGTGGGGCCCACCTGGGGAAAGAGTGTACGACGGAGCGTGTACACGGTGTACGGCATCGTACGGAGTTACGGCATAGAACAATACAGTCAGGAGGAGAGTACTCCTTTTTTTGATGCGCTAATGCGGGAGATGCTCATGGTAGCTGGCTCGTGCCCATCCCGAAGACTCCCGTGCGTCTGTATATCTGCCTGTACTGCGCATGTGTTGGGGGTCGGTGGGTGGGGGGAGGTAATAGAAATTCCAAATCCCAATCCTGTCCAGTACATTCACCTAAAAGGTGCCGACACACCACGTCCATGCAACCCCTCCTGCTTCAACGATCTTTCCCACCACCCCTCCCCTCCCTCTTCCCAACCCCCCATCAGTTTCTAGACGTCCTCTTCTCCAATCCTGTCTGTCCTCCCCTCCCTTGTCATGTGTGCGTCGACACAGCTCCTTAGCACCCTGAAGCGAACCTAGACTTAACTCCACAAGCACCTCCTCATTAACCTCCGCATACACCTCCTCATATATCACGGCTGGCGCAACACATAACACGACAACGCTAAGGAATCCCTCTTCCCGCTCTGTGAGCTCGAAAGCTTCCATTCCCCCAATTCGAGGCGCTCTCTCTTTCTCTCTCTCTCTCTTTCTCTCTCTCTTTCTCTCTCTCTCTCTCTCTCTCTCTCTCTTTCTCTCTCTCCCCGGTTTTTCTTGACATCCTTCCCCCCCAGTCCCCCAGTCCAGTCCACAACTGAAAGCCGCCAACACCACCACCCCCTGGGCGCTGCACCTCGCCCCATCTCTTCCTTTCCGTATGCCTCCCTGGCTCGCTTGCTCCCTGCAATGTCATGTTCCTTGCACATGTTCTTGTCCTGCGCAACGATACCTCCCATGGTAATAGGATAAGGCAGCCACATTCCAGCCGTACTAACTAACTATGCCACGACCAGGCCAGCAACGGCCTAAGGGCAAACAGGCCTACGGCCGCACCCAGGCCCAGGCCCAGGCCGTAGCCCTGTCACCGCACCTCTAGACTTCTGGCCCTTCATGCCGCGGCCCGCGTACTTGTTCCTCCTGCCGGCATCACCACGGCCCACGCGGATGCGCTACGAGAACGCGGGGAGGAGGGGAAAGACGAACCACACACGATTGAAGCTGCTGCCAGGGCAAGAGGGAGGAGGAGGGGAAAGACGAACCACACACGATTGAAGCTGCTGCCAGGGCAAGAGGGAGGAGGAGGGGAAAGACGAACCACACACGATTGAAGCTGCTGCCAGGGCAAGAGGGAGGAGGAGGGGAAAGACGAACCACACACGATTGAAGCTGCTGCCAGGGCAAGAGGGAGGAGGAGGGGAAAGACGAACCACACACGATTGAAGCTGCTGCCAGGGCAAGAGGGAGGAGGAGGGGAAAGACGAACCACACACGATTGAAGCTGCTGCCAGGGCAAGAGGGAGGAGGAGGGGAAAGACGAACCACACACGATTGAAGCTGCTGCCAGGGCAAGAGGGAGGAGGAGGGGAAAGACGAACCACACACGATTGAAGCTGCTGCCAGGGCAAGAGTGTATGAAACGGACCGAACTGACCGAAAGGCGGGGAGGAGGGGAGAGGGGTTGGGAGGGAGTCATGAAATGCAAAAGAAGCAGGGACTGCGGGGGGTTACTTGCCGACAAGTCGACAGTGCCAATTGCCAAAGGATTCTAAAACCAAAAAGCGTCGTTATGTTGGAAACCAATAGTGGGAAGGGGTTGGGGGCCGAAATTTCAAAATTCGAAACTGGGTTTTGTGCAAGGGTACTCCAGCATGAGGCGACATCAGAGGATGGGGGATATGGGTCTGTCTGCTTGCGGGGCAACGTTTTAGGGTCAGGTTAAAAGCTTCAAGACATTTTGAAAGGAAGGGATGAGTGGATGAAAGGATAAGAATGTGGCGTTGTTGGATGGTGGCTGTAAGATGAATATATTCAGAGGGCGAGCGACCTTGAACTGAACAACCCAGTTGCCATTATCCCCCTCCCTGAACACTTGCCCACGCAACACAGCCCGGCTGCCTTTGCTTTTCTCCCCCCCCCGCCCCTCCAAACCCCCCCCCACCCCTCCAAGCGGGAGAGACGCACTGATTAGGTAGATGATCGAATAGGTGGTAGAAATGGGAGGGAAAGGGGGAGAAAGGGGCGGAGCGGAACGAGCTGCAGGAAAAATCTTCTTTGGTAGGGCGGACTATTAACATGCATCTAGGGGTCGCTGCCGCGGGGTTTGCGGTTTCGTTTTAGAGCGCCCGCGAAACCCTAGGCTAGGCCTCGTAAGCGTGGACGGACATGACGTTGAGAGGGTGGGTCCACCCCGATCTGTTGGCGGCGCGCCCTTTTGTGCCGTATTCACGCCACCTGGTGTGTACGTCACCTTCCCACTGCCTCCCCTTCCGCTTGGCAGGCTACTTGTTGGGGTTACGGCTCCCAAGGGAGGGTGAGATACGTCCCCTGTGGCTTCACCTGCCGCGTAGCTCCAGGGTTGTCTCGCAAATTTCCGAGGCTCACGTAGTAGTTGGGTGGGCTGGGGCGTGTCCCACTGCCAAGCTGTGGTGGCTGCTGCGGAGGTCGCTGGCTGGCAAATGATCTATATAAAGAGCCGTCGAGGAATGGGTTGGACCAGCTCATCTGCGTGTGTTGTAAGCTGCAGGTCCGCCAGGGTGCGCTTGATGAGGAGGCGATGCTCCGGAAAAAGCAGCTGGAACTGCTCGATGCGTCAGCGCCCCACGCCTGAACGCTGCTGTATGATCTTTGGCATACAGCTCCAAGCTTTACCAGCAGGTCTTTAACTCGTGACATAATGTAACACGCCGGAGACTGGCTTTGCTTGACGAAAACAGGCCAGTTCAACAGGATGTAAATACTTACATTTACCTATGCCGACATATACATCATGGTATGCAGTGACGAAGGTGACAACATCAGTCAGCGCCTAACAGACGTTACATAATAAGTTCTTTTACAAATCAAGCTCAACAAAAATAATTGCTGTGTAAAGTACAGACAGTCCCCTTCCTTGCGTCAATAGGTTCACCATAATGTACGGCGTGGTCGTTTTCCTTGTGAAGGCAACAACTCTGCCTTTTAGCAAGTTGGTTTTTGAACATATTAGACACTACCATTGGTGACGCAACGAACATTAGCTCGGCGCAAGTAGGTCACTACGATGGCCCCCAAAAAGAAGTCAGCGAAGAAGGTGTGACTGCGTCCCGCAGACAGTTTTCAATCTTATATTGTAGCTCTTGTCTACAAGCTCGATTGTGTCGCGCTTCAGGACGCCAAGAAGGATGCAGTGCAAACAGGCGACATCGAGGGAGCCTCCGTGGAGGAGCTCAACCAGAAAATTGGGACGCTGGAAAAAGAAAAGAACAAGGAGGAGGAATACCGAAACTATATGCAATTGGAGAGAGTAAGCGAGGGTAGCCCCCGCGTGCTCTTGCATGCCCAGGTCTTCGCTGGTTGTTGACGGGAATGATGGCCTGTGTTGTAATCACAGGACAAGATAAATGCGTTTTGGGAGATTACGAAGAAGGACTTGGAGGACCGGCGGGCTGAGCTGCGGAACAAGGACCGGGAGATGGAGGAGATGGAGGAGCGGCACCAAGTGGAAATCAAGGTGGGTCAGCAGTCACTGTTGATCCTGCACGCCCACAGCCTGGACTCGAACCAGCGGTCATGTCGCAGTGCTCCCAATAGACCTCCGTTTTCCTCCCTGACCACACCTATTTTCCATACGCTGCTACTTTTCGCCGCACATGGCCACCCCTCTTACCCCCCCCATCCTGCCGCAATCTACTACAGGTCTACAAGCAAAAAGTAAAGCACTTGCTGTACGAGCACCAGAACAACATCACGACACTCAAAGCGGATGGCGAGCTGGCGCTCAAGTTGCAGCAGGACGAGTTCAGGAAGCGCGAGGGGGACCTGGGTAAAGACAAGCGGAATCTAAAGCTGGAGCTAAAGGAGCAGGTGCGCATCTGCCTCCCTCATCTGACCAGGTGGAAGCTGCGCGGGGGGTAGGTGGGATACGCGAGCTAGCAGATATTGGGTAAGCGAGCTAGCAGATATTGCTGCCAGCTGCTGAGGACCCCGGGTTCTTGCAGCACACGTCGCCTGCCTCACCAGCCACCACTTCACGTGCGCCCTGCGGCTTTCGAACTTGGGGTGTGTGGGTAAGGTCCACGAGGTAAGCTCCACGGAGGTAAGCACGGCTGTGCGGCAGCTGCGGTAGCGGAGGTCGGATCCTATGACCTGTCCAGGCGCACTGGGGTGGTGGCAGCGGTGTCAGGGAATATGCCTTACGCAGTGCCAATTCCACAGCGCCGAATCTTTCAATGCAGCGGCATCGTCCTGCGGATGGATTTTGGGGTGCTGTCCCACCTACACAGCAGCCAGTTTGGTGATTAGGAACGTACGCGCGCGCGCATGCGTGCGTGCGTGTGTGTGTGTGTGTTTAACGGCGCGCGTTAGGAGTGAATGTCGCCGCTGTGCACCGTCGGGGGGGTGCGCGGGGAGAGAAAATGGAGAGCTCAAGACGTTGATGTGGCTGGTTGAGCCTGCTGACTGCTGTGGACCGCCCTCATGGGGGGCTGTGCAGCCGGCAGCCCCTGGGGCGTTAGGGCCGGGCATGTCCAGCAGCACATTTTTAGGGTGCAGAGGTGTCTGCGCAATGGCAAAGAGTGATGGGGAGGGGGCAGTTGGGTCGGTTGGGCGTTGAGATGAAGGCCTGGTCCGGAAGCAGCTCCAATAGGATTAGCGCTGGATTATGAGGAGGCATCAGGATTAGCGGGAAATATGCTGTTGGAGGGATGGCAGCACGGGGATGGCTGTTAAAGCAACAGCAGCAGCAGCAGCTGCTGCGACAGCGCTTTCAGGATCGGTGAAGAAGCAGCACACAGCCCGACGCGTCGGCCCTTCTATGCGGCTAGGACACGTTTCTTTTCCCTATGGAGGGCTAGGGACCTGCAGTTGCATTGAAAAGAGTTAAATTTGAGGTCTATATCCAGGAATGGGTTGACCACCGTTCGAATCCTCTATTGTGCTCACTTGTTTAACCCTGTTTTTGCTGTGCCAGAGAAGCTAGAAAACTCCGTCAGTCTTACGCACGCAATGGTGTTTCGGCCGAATTGCTCTCCAACTTGTGTGCCTTGGGTCTTCTGGAATTTGTTTAACCATGTATATTGGCCGTCCTTTCCAAGCTTCCTTCTTCCCTTACCGAGGTTACCGTCCGCTGTGGCTGGCCCAGGCACTTGCCTGGCCTTGTTCTATGCTGTCTTATCCCTTTCATTACCCCTTCTCCTCCTGTTTCTATGTTTCCTAACCCCCCATTTCCTTCCCCCTTATTCAACACATTCCTTAGGAGCTGGCCCACCAGGACATCATTCGGCAGCTCAAGTTGGAACATGCCAAGGAGATTACCAAGCTGCGACAGGAGTTTGAGCTGCAGGTACGGGCTGGCCGGGGAAAGTGTACGCGGGCAAAGACCAGTACGGATTTTGACTCGGGGTACGGGTTTGGGGCTTAGGAGCATTATTTTACCGATGGGGCAGGGATATGGACGGGGCAGGGGTTCAGGGAAATCGAGAACGGGCCGGCGATGTCCCAGGGGGTAAGCGTATGGTCCGCATGAGCGCATGTGCTGAAGATGTGTATGCACACGAGTTGCAGGCTGCCTGAGGGAGGAGGGGTTGGGCGCAACGCTGAAACCTTGTGAAGAGTGAGGGAAGATGGATGGAGTGGCGGAGTGGCTGCAGTGATGGCGCAGTTCTCTTTGGCAGTTCTGTGGGAAAGCCCTGAGGGGGGTTCCCCCATAGGACGACCCCCTTCGACAAGACGCACGAGTTTACTCTCTCCCACATACCTCCCAGGTGCTCGTGTGCCCTCCCTCACGCTTACCGCTGTCCTGACCCCCGTCGCTCTTCGCCTTCCGCGCCTTCCGCGACGCTTTACGCGGGCACGAATCTCAGGCACGGGAGTTGCAGCAAAAGTACGAGAAGAAAATGAAGATGCTACGTGATGACTTGGAGCTACGGAGGAAGCAGGTTGGCGTGTATTTCCTAGGACACGTAATGGGCGAATGCTAAACCACGTAATGGGCTAATGCTAAACCACGTAATGGGCTAATGCTAAACCACGTAATGGGCTAATGCTAAACCACGTAATGGCCGAATGCAAGGCAGCGGGAATGTGGAGGCTATATATGAGGAACATCCCCACAGAGTCACCCCCGGAAATGTGTCTGGTGATGACGGGTGTGTGATGTTGGTAGCTGTGTGTAGACTTGACATTGGTGCGGTCGCGTGGGTGTATGTATGTGTGTATGTATAATCCACTCCTCCCACGCTGCCCCCCCACAGCGCCCCGCAGCCCACATATAAGCCCACATATTTCAAAAGGCCACACAAAGCCACCATGCCCACAATTGTTCACTCCATGCTCAGAGGGCTCGACACCGACAGAAAAGCACACCGCCTGAGAGGTCGTTTTAAACGCGACGTTTTTTCTCTCGCGATCCATTTTACCCATCTGGTTGGAGACTTGCTGTGTGCATCTGCTCTTACCGACATAAAGGACGGCAACAGATTGACTGTGGGAATAATGTTGTCGCATTTTTCGCAGTCCGTGTAACTCCAGAGGTGCATTTGGTGGGTTAGGTGGGCGATGGTTCCCCCTTCTAATCACCCCGCCTGGCAGCGCGCACACATGCACATACACGCACGCACATACAGGCACGCACGGACGCGCAGAGACATTGCTAAACTCTGTAGCACCAACGGTGCATTTCCCTTATCACGGCTGAGATCATGAAAACACACAGACACACACACGCACACACACACACAGACACACACACGCACAGACACACACACATCTCGCGCAACTGTTCAACCCCTTCCCTTCCACCCGCACACCTACCGCAGGAGATCCACGAGATCGAGGAGCGCAAGAACACGCACATCAATGAGCTCATGAAGAAACACGAGCGCGCGTTTGCGGAGATTAAGAACTACTACAACGACATCACGCACAACAACCTGGACCTCATAAAGACGCTCAAGGTACAGCAGGATTGCCGATAAGGACGAAGGCTTGCCAAGGGAGGGAGGGCCCCATCGAAAGAGCTCAAACGCCGCAATCATCTCCTCCCCCCAACATTCCATTTATCTTCTCCTGGACTATATCCGTGTACCTCTGGTATTTGCTTTCTTCGCCAGTGGTTCGTCTTACCCCCCGCTTCATCCCAATTGCCCTTGCCTGCTCAGAGCTGGTCCACAGAGCAACCCTCCTTGTACCGAGCTCGCCTATGTTCCCTTCCCCTCCCTTCCCACCAGCTTCCAAGTACTTAAATGATGATGTCGCTATCCTCCCTTCTCTCCGGGGCGGAAAAGCCCAATATCTCACTTGGCCAAATTTGGCCCCACCAAACCCTAGAACTGCCCGCCCTGGCCCGCCCACTCTTCCTCTTCTTATCCCTGCTGCAAGTACACGACACCCCGAGTTGCCACCACGTGCAGCGGGATCCATTTCCCCTGGTGCACCCCTGACAGAAAACACACATTCACACATGCATGTGTGGGTATGTATATATGTGGGTCATGTGGGTCAAAAATGGAGATATGTGTCTGTTTGTGTGTCTGTCTGAATGCCTCGACGTCTTAACGTTTTCCCACAGGAAGACGTGGCGGAGATGAAGAAACGGGAGGCGCAGAACGAGAAGCTCATGTACGAGATCGCGCAGGTAAGGAGCTTTGAACAGAGAACTGGGTTACGGCCGTAGTGAATGATGTCCGGCTGCCGGCTGGCCCCCAAATGAACCCTTTAAGCGAAACCCTTCATGCCATTATTCCCGCCATAACCCTCCCCCCCCTAACGGAACTTGTAACTTGTAACCTAAGGTAATCCGCAATCCTTCCCAGGTCCTGTCCATCCATCACTCTGTCCGATCCCGCTTTCCTTCTTTCCAATCCTCATCCTCCGTAACGTCCACCACGCCGTTAAGTACCCCCGTGTTCACTTTAAAACTACCCCCGTGCTCCACTTCTCTGTGGTTCGTCTTACCGGTCCCCCGTGTTTAATCCTCCCTCCATTTCCGCACCTTAGGACAACAAGCGGCTGTCCGAGCCACTAACCAAGGCGCTCAAGGAGGTGGAGATGCTCCGACAGCAGCTGGCCAACTACGACAAGGACAAGCTATCACTCTCCCAGACCAAGGCCAGGCTGCTCAATGCGGAGCGGCAGATCAAGAACCTTGAGTGGGAGAACGAGGTGTGTGTGTATGTATGTATGTGTGTATGTGAAGGGGGCAGAGGGGAAATGGGGCATTGAAGGCACGTCAAGAGCCTCCATCTTGTGATGAGCCTATGCTCATTTACATTTCGTCCATGGCCCCCTGGAGTCCTTAGTTCCGGCAAAGACCTTTCCGCAACGTGTGCCGGGGCAAAACACCGTGGCAACCCCGCACATCTCCAGCACATCTCCAGCACATCTCCCGCACATCACTGGGCTCCTTCGTTTCCGTTCCTCGTCCCTCCAACAACCTTGATATCGGTGTTGTTGTTGTTGTTGTTGTAATAATGAGTATTAACCAATTGATGAAACAAGACCAAGAAATGCAAATAAGATGAAAGAGCTGCGGGAAGAAATTGCCAAAACGGATTTTTTGAAGGCAAATCAGCGGGCGGTCTTGTTTTAGCTACTTTGGGCGGCAATGGTGAATTGAACATGAAATTCCCATCTGTCCTCCACACTCGCAATTCTCCTCTGCGGCATTGTGGTGTCTGCTCTACTCTCCCGTGTATTGGAAGAGTCCCCTGCTCCATTTCAACCCCATCATGGGAACCCTTCGGGCGCTGCTGCATTATTATAACATCAAACACTGCAGGTTCTGTCCCAGCGATTTTCCAAGGTGCAAGGCGAGCGTGACGAGCTGTACTCCAAGTTCGAGGCGTCCATCTACGACGTGCAGCAGAAGACCGGGCTCAAGTCAGCGCTGCTGGAGAAGAAGATCGAGGTGCGCGTCTGGGTTGTGCCCACTGGGCCGGTGGGAGGCGGAAGGGGAGGAGGGGGAAGGGAAGGCGAAGGGAAAGGCGAAGGGAAAGGCGAAGGGGAAGGCGAAGGGGAAGGCGAAGGGGAAGGCGAAGGCGAAGGGGAAGGGGAAGGGGAAGGGGAAGGGGAAGGGGAAGGGGAAGGGGAAGGGGAAGGGGAAGGGGAAGGGGAAGGGGAAGGGGAAGGGGAAGGGGAAGGGGAAGGGGAAGGGGAAGGGGAAGGGGAAGGGGAAGGGGAAGGCGAAGGGGAAGGCGAAGGGGAAGGCGAAGGGGAAGGCGAAGGGGAAGGCGAAGGGGAAGGCGAAGGGGAAGGCGAAGGGGAAGGCGAAGGGGAAGGCGAAGGGGAAGGCATAAACCGTCTGCAATCCGTCTACGCGTTGTCCACACCCTCATCCCCGCCCCAAGACGGTAATATTGACACAGCTTCTCTTTTTTAAATCCCCTGGGCTTCCGGCAATTGTTCCGGCAATTGTTCCGGCATCGCTTTGGACTACTTCAGTCGGTTGGTATCAACTTGTTTGGGCGTGTCGGCGAGTAGCCCCCTTGGCTGATGCTTCCTGCACTACGTGACTCCCTCCCATCCCCCTCTCTTTTCAATTTAGGCAAAACTACTATAATGAATTACCAGGTCGCGATTTCCGGTCTCCCCTATTACGTTATGTTATGGAATGTTCTTTTCCTCAATCGTCTGTGCTTCGCCGTATCGTCTTACCTCCCCCCGTATGTTAGGCCCTGGGCGAGGCGCTGGAGATGAAGGAGGCCCAGCTGGCCGAGGTGCTGACTGCGGCCAACCTGGATCCCGGTACCCTCGCCGCCATCAACCAGCGGCTGGAGGAGGTGCTGGACAACAAGAACCAGGTAGGGATAGGGCCCTTCGCTGCCTGCACGGCCGGGTGCGGTTGACGGGTTCGGGAATGTCGGTAGTTGTGCACATGCATGGGTGTGCCAGTATGGGTGTGCATGTGCGAGCGTGTGTGGAATATAGCGGTGGGCGTATCCTACACACAAACGCGTGGACGTGGGCTACGTGAATGCGCATGTGCGTTTTATGAAAAGCTCTAAGATTTTGATGTTGTGGTGTGGGTCGGCGTGGGCGAGCCTGTGCATGGTGCATGGTGCATGGTGGGGGGTGTTGCGCATGCTGTGTATTGTATATTCCGTCTCCCCCTGGCAGCCCCCGACTTAGCCCGGCCTCTCCACCTGGACGTCCGCAGATCATCAAGGCGCTGCAGTACGACGTGGCCAAGGTGTCCAAGGCCCACAACGACCTCATCCGCGTGTACGAGGCAAAACTAACGGAATTCGGTATTCCTGTGGACGAGCTGGGCTTCCGACCGTTGGTCACGAACACGAGCACAGGGCCGGCGGGGTTGGTCGTGGGGGCGTAACCAGCTATATCTCTGCCATCGCCGTCACCGTCACCGTCACCTTTGGCGGGTGTGGTGTTGCCTGTGCTCTCTTGTGGGACCAGATCTTGTTATTGGGGAGAGGGTGCGGCGTACCTGGTTGGACGGGGAATGCGTAGTAGTAGGAGGAGAAGGAGGAGGAAGGAGAGGTGGGAAAGGGGGAGGAGGAGGTAGCGGCTATGCCAGGCTACTGCTGCTGCTGTGCGTGCGTGTTTGTGTGTTTGTGTGTGTTTGTGTGTGTTTAGGGTTGAAGTTAAGGCATAAACTTGTAAATGTACACGGTCTGGCCGGGGTAAGTTGGGGTTGCGGTTGGGGTTTTGGATGGGACGACAGGCAGGCGGTTTGCGCCCTGATGAGCGAGAGTGCCGACCAGGGTGGAGTAGTCCAGGTGTAACTTGGTAGCAGCGCTGCTGGGTATTTTGACTGTGTGTGGAGTGTGGCTGGATCTGGACCAGGAGGTATGCATGTACTGTACTTGTCGATGTATCTTGATGTACATACATACATACATATGTACCTTGGTGGGGTCCTTGGTTGCGTTCACAGCACCGTGGCGGGGGAGCATGTATGGGTCAATGGAGGGCCGCCGTGCGTGCAGAGGATCTGATGATGCAAGTAAGGACGGAATCAAGGGGGGGTCGTCCAGCCAGGAGGTGCCTCCTTGCGCGGGGGGGGGGGGAATACGCTGGCTGGCTGACTGGCGGGGCTGGGCGGAGGTGGTAGTGGTAGTAGTCGTAGTAGTAGTGGCAATGGCAGTGGTGGTGGGCTGGGGGTTTCTGGTGTGAAAACGCAACGACATCTGTACTGGATTTATGGGTGTATCAACCCTAAGTGTATGGACAATCTGCATGTTTGGCTTGTTTTGTGTTGCGGCATGGCAGGAGGTCATATTATTAATCTTCTGCCGGGTGCGTGTGCGCGTACGGCGCACGAGGACGGGAACACCGCCCGACCAGTCGACAGCGAATCCTTGAACTTTTGTATGCTACACCAGCAGGTACATACATACCGACATCGTGAAAGCGTGAAAGCGTGCGCCTTATGGCTATAGAAGTTAATGACGGTGTAACGGTATTGTTACACGGTATGTATGCGGTGTGGGAGTTAGATAGCGCTGGTACCACCGGTGTGGATATACGATGACAACAGTCTGTCATGCATGGAGGATCAACATGGACAGAAGTTCCCTAGCTAGCTAGCCGGGTAGTACAGTGAATAGACAGGACGGACGGGGATGGATTCATATGTGTGCGTTGCCCGCTGCCGCAGTACTTATGTACTGCTGCCGTACTCGTGTACGTACGTTCATGCGCATCGTTTGCATCTCCCGCGCTCAGGACCGTGCGTTTCCCCACCCTAAGATGATTCCGGCATGTTCACCATTGAGCAAATGCAATCGCCGCCTACATCAAAACAGCACCGCACCGCTGCGCCTTCTCGTGGCGCATGCAGCCACCCCGAAGCGGCTCGAGGAGGACGGGCTTTGGGACGCGTTTGGTTTCTTGTCTGGGTTCCTGCCCGCCTGCCCGCTGCCAGCATATGCGGACGAAAGAGTGTTACATGGCAGCCAAAATTGCAGCTTGCTATAGCTATGGGTACCTGTCCTCGCTCTATCTCAAGGAATCTTTTTGCAGACCTCTGGTACGCACGCTGGTCGCTCGTCAAAATGCAGAGCTCACCCAGGCCCGCACCCAACTCCTATCACGTCAACTCCTTGCGTTCGAGATGCCATAGGATCTTGTGCATAATACGGTTTTGTTAAGAACGAACGGCGCCCGCAGCGCGCGGCTAATCAGAGGCGTGTTGAATAAAGTTGCTGCCAGAAGCGCGTGCCAAAATAGACAAATAAACAAACGATTGGCATTGGACATTGGACTCGACCGCGTGCATCACCGATGTATCGCCACACGCACCCAAAATATTGTCACATTCCACACCGTGTCTTTTAGGACCCCAGTCTGATTTGGACCGGGACCAATAAGCTCCATCAAGCCGGCACCAGGGCCGTTTGGGAGCACGTGCTAACAACCACCCTTTCTTGTCAGTCAACGATGCAAACAAGGTCGTTTGCCGCTTACCGGAATGCAATGAGGAGGTCTGAGGGCTCAGTCTGAACCTGATCTTTTTTGTCTGAGCGTACTAGCTGTCCGAGGTTTTATGTCTAGGGAAGTTAGTACGGCCTGGCCGAGTTATATTCTTTTTGAATATAACCCACCGTGTTGTGCGCGAAGTGTTCCTAGGAGAGGTGCAAGTGCACTTGATCCGTTCGTGGTCCTCTGTAATGATCGCATTCTCACCAGGAGCTGCGGGAACCTCTTTCAAGCGTGGCGCCATATACTTGCTCCTACGGTTCCTGGTAGACCCCCGACATTGTCGGGAGCGTGAGATTATGGCTAGCTGCTGAGTTGCTGATGTGGAGTTGAGGTCACAGCTAAGGGAACGAGATTCGCACCACGCTGGATTGGTGGCGACTGCTGAACCCTTTGTCTCTATGGATGTTCGGGTGAAAGGATGAGGAGGGCTGAATCATATAAGGCAGGATCAACCGCCTTGGACTTGCAGTTTGTATGGCATAGGACAGTGTGGTAATGGTGGATGGTGCTGTAGGGTGTTCAATCCTAGACGACAAAAAAATATAATGTGTGCAAATGCCCCAGATGTAATTCCTCCCACTCTGGAACAACGACCTGCTGCACGCCTGATGTACATCTCCACATCCATCGCGATGATGCGTGGCTGCCAAAATCATGTTAAAAATAATAACACAACAGTGCGGATGAGGTAAGATAAGTAAGTTTTTTAAGAACGAGTGTGTGTGTTTACATGTGTATGTGCGTCTGTGGTGTGAAGTGGCCGCCGGGTGGGGGGATGGTGGGTTAGATTTCCCCGACATTTGCACCTCCTGTCATCGCCTGTCAAGCAAGACCATTACATCCATCCCTACGTCCCATCAGGCCGCTTGCCGCAATAACAAGGCAATTATTATCATTATTATCGCAATAACATCATTGAGTGCGCGTGCCTCAGCCAGCAGTTAGGCCTCGGCGGCAGCGGAGGGTGATGGGCCAGCCCACCGGCCGCGCACACCCAAGCTTTCCCAAGTTACTATGCAGTAAAATGTCCGGTGCTGCTAATAAGATTTTAGCGAACGGACCTTTCAGTTCCAAAGCGTAGCGTTACGTTACAATAGGTGCTTTCCGCAAGCCGCATGTGTTCGCGAAGAAGTAAACCACCGCAAGACTGAACTACCTACCCTCCGAAGCAGTGTTTTTTATAAAACGTTCTTGCCCCGGTAATTTGTTATTGACCAAGTGGTTACTGTGAGGATTTATTGTAACCATCCTCACAATCGTTTTTCTGTGCCGTCACGGCCCCCCCCCAACACACACCCACACACCCACACACACGTGTCACTGCAACGGCAACGCGGCACTGCTCAAAAAACTCATATCGAGAGGGGATTATTAACAACATGCGGTCCAGCGAGTATGCTGAAATGGAGCCTACCTGCGCGCGCTCGAGAATTCCTTTGAGCGCTCTCATTTTATCGTTCCCTTCCCTCCTTCCATCACGGCTTGGCACGGCGTAGGCAACGCCAATACAACAACCCTTTATAAACGCGAAAATATGTACAGAAACTTTGTAGGACAATATGTTTGTACAGATAGAGCCCCAAAACATAGCTACTTCTCAAACGTCGCATGCCGGTAGGCAGGCACGCCGGCTTTCATTTAAGCACGATTAAAAGCACTGCTCCAAAGGGCCCATACGAGCCGGCGGGCCAGCTGCAAAATTAACAGATATCGTAAAAATGCACGAGGAGAAAATATTACTCTACCGCTTAAAAAGAAGTATATGCACGCGATACGCTGCGATGGGCGCGATATGCTGCGATGGGCGCGATGCGCTGCGATGAGCGCTGTGCGCTGCGCTCAATGCGTTGCGCTGCGATGCGATGCCCACCAGTGCGATGCGAGATGCGCGCAATGATGTCGATGCGAGACGCGCGCGATGTGATGCGAAGCTGTTTGTGCGATCAAGTGAGAACAGTCGTAGTAGCCAACTAGGCGCGCGCGGTGGTCGAGGTTCGCGGACCGCTTGAGGTTCGGTCCTGTGGCTAATATACGTTCACGCAGGCGGAGATATATAACGTAATATTTGTGATAGTCCATTGCTGCCGACGTCGGTGCCTGGCTGCTGCGGCTGCGGCCAGCCGAGCGAACGAGCGAGGTGCGCAAATTGGCTGGTTGCGGAAGTCGCGCGCAGTCCCGGGAGTTGACATTTATATATGTAACCAGAACGTGCGTGGTGAATGTATACTTATGTATCTACTTGCTGGAGCACGAGAGAATGCCTGGCCCTCAACGAATGTATAAAGCAAGGGCCCTCACCCTACCGCATGTTATTGGCCCGATAATGGGAACGCCTGGTAACCGGCCTCGATTACCAGGCTATAAGGTTACTGGGCTGTTAACGGGCTAGGGTCGTTAATCGGCCAGTTACCCGTAATCAGGCTCCATTACCAGGGTGGTTTACCAGGGTCGTTTATCGGGCGGCCAGTTACAAGTTACCCGGTAATCAGGCAGCATTATCGGGTGTTTACCAGGTCCTTTATCAGGCGGCCAGTTACAAGAATGTCCCCGGTAATGGGGCAATAACATAGATATTATCAGGACGTTAACCGACCAAACTCTTACGCATTAAACAGCGATTACCAGCTTCATAGCGGGTTCATATTATCCTACACAAAGCATTGCCCAATGGCCTACTACAACCTGCTCACATCTCTCAATCGGTACCACGAGGACTATAGGCCCTTCTTTAGTCAACATTAAGAATCACTTGAAACTGCAGGCTGTCGTGTCATACGACTGTAGCACCGAACAAAACACGTGTTTTGTTCGCACGTGCACGTGCGTACGGCAGACTATAAAAGACGATTATAAAAGACGGTAAAATGAACATGACGCTAAAATGTCGTGACAAGGCGCCCTCCAGGTTCCTGATCACTGCCCGCGGTCTGCTACCTCCGCTGCTTCTTCAGTCCCCCCTTCCGAATCTCTGCCATGGCCTTCTTGCCCTTCTCCTGCTGCACCTTAGCCCCGCGGGTCTGTACAGCTCGGCCTTTACCGACACCAAACGCTTCCTTCCTCTCTGCGGGGTTTGACGCTGTTGCCCCGAAAGCCGAAGGGTCCTCCGGCAACACCAGTGGGGTTTCCTTAGGGCGTGGACGCTTGGTTCGTGCAGGCACCACCATGCCCACCGTTTCTTGGCTCTCCCGCGCCTTCGCCGAGGGTTGCCTCAGGCGCGTGGGCCGCCCTCTGGCATCCAATGCCCCTACAAAAAGTGAGAGTGATTAATAAATTAATTTTCATATGAAGTCGTAATTTATTGCCTTGTTGTTAGTAAGTTCCGTGTGTAGTCATAATTTATTGTCATGTTAAAGCTACAATTTACCTTTGTCATGTTTTCCGGTCACCAGGACCTTGCGGCGCCCAGTTGGTTGAGGCGCGGACTTGCTGTGGACCTTCTGGCTCTTGCTTCTGCCGTACTCCTCGAGCAGGACTTTGCCCCCCGTCCCCTCGTCCTCCTCCCCTCCCTCATCCTCCCCTCCCTTGTCCTCCCAGTCCTCGTCCTCCCCGCCCATGTAATCCCCGCTCTCGTACGGCCAGTCCCCGTCCTCCCCACCCTCATCCTCCCCGCCCTCATCCTCCGCGCACTCGCCCTCGCCCTCGTCCTCCCCGCTGTAGTCCCCATCATCTCCCTCATCCCCATCCTGGCGGCTGCTCTTCTGGCCGAGGGGCTCCTGCTGCGTCTCCATAACGTTGGCCTGGCCTGGGGGGTTGTACATTTTGTTGTGAAGTTAGGAAGGGATACAAGCAACATGATGTATTGCATGACAGGGAAGTTTCAAGTAGTTCATGTCTGAT